CCTTTTAGATCTATGAGCTCTAAATCCATCGAGTCAGTGTTCATGCTTGAGTGCTTAAGTTCGCTTAGCTTACCAAACTCCACAACCAAAGGATCCATCGATATTGTTGGAATATTGACTTTGAATATTTAGGGAGTAATTGTATTAAGTAAAATACTAAAAAATTTGGAAAAAATTAACAGTAAATCCTTGTTCACTTGCCTTAAATCATTATTTACTTACTTGACAATTTTTGTAATTTTTTATAATGATATTTTCATAATTTTTTGTAGCTTCGAAATCGCTATCTTTTATTATATATATGAGAGGATAAGTTGACCAATTTCAAATTTCGAAGTTTTATTCGCAAGCCTGACGTGGTAACAAAATTGGCTTTTCTGTAAACATTATAATGTCCGCGGCCCAAATCAAAGCACACAATTATTATTAAATGCTCCATCAAAAGTGTGTCTAACAAACAGTATAAACTTTTGAGCCAAGTTTTATAATTAATTTTAAATTATTATTTAATATTTTTTTAAGCGAAAAATATTTTGAGATCTCTTAATTAATTGTATATTATTTTTTAATATATTTTTAAGTAAAAGATTTTTGGTGCCCTTGTTGACATTCAATGGTTCCGGCATGGTAGCCCACGTCCTTCGGTCTAAATACATCATTCATTTCACAATTATTATTATTATTATTATTGATCGTACTTGGTCATATGTTTTGATTATTAAAAAATAATATAAATTATTTCATTCATCGGTTATTGTTTAATGAAATCTCAAAAAATAATTTATATTATTTTTTAATATATAACCTCAAGTGAAAATTTTTTTATTTTAAAATTTATACAAAACTATATTATTTTATATATTTAATTAATTAAAAAAATAAAAATAATGAAATTAGAATATGTGATTGTTTGATCATTAAAATTTTTGTACCATATCAAAAAAATCATCTTACAGCAGTGGAACAGCTGACTTCCGTGGGTCTGAAGTGATCGTTCGTGACAATTATTATCGATTTAGACATCACTAGTTTGTCTCTGTATTTATTATATGGGTAAAATAATAGCAATGGTGGGTGCTATATCAGATGGAGGGTTTTGACAAGTATTTGTGTCTCTCTTTTATACTACTACCTTTAAGCTCATACTGGTAGGAAATATGATTTCAAGGCTGCTATTCTCGTCCCTTTTTATCTTGTACGCTCTCTGTTATGTACAAAACGCTACAACTGCCTTTGGCTCCACAAATGAGACAGACCAACAAGCTTTGCTTGCCATCAAGAATCTGATATCAAGCGATCCTTTTGAAGCTTTAAGCTCATGGAACAATTCACTGCATTTCTGCAGTTGGCGAGGGGTTACGTGTGGCCGTCGGCATCGAAGAGTGACTGCCCTGAAGCTGCAAATGCTACAACTGGCAGGTTCTCTATCTCCCCACATAGGAAATCTTACCTTCCTTAGCGAGCTCAATCTCAGCACAAACAACTTCCGTGGTGCAATTCCAGAAGAAGTTGGTCGATTGTTTCGGTTACAAAATCTTTCTCTAGACTATAACTTCTTCCAAGGCGAACCTCCCAGAAATCTGAGCCATTGTTCAGACCTGAGATACTTGAACTTGGGAGGAAACAGTTTGACTGGGAAACTTCCCAGCCAGCTTGTCTCTTTGCCTAAGATGCATACACTTTACCTCTTAACAAATAATTTCACTGGATCAATACCACCTTCATTTGGAAACCTCTCTAGTCTCTTAACACTTCATCTTGCGGAAAACAAACTTGAAGGAAGCATTCCAGTTGAGCTTGAACGTCTCTCCAACTTAGAAGTTCTAGATTTGTCCACCAACAATCTTTATGGTACGTTTCCTAAACATCTTTGCAATATCTCATCATCATTACGTGTGATTTCCTTGGGCTTCAATAACTTCCGTGGTGACCTCCAACTTGATTTATGCCCAAAGCTTCCCAATCTCCGAAAGATATACCTTGCAAAAAATAATTTTTTTGGGACTATTCCAACATCCATAGTCAATGCTTCAAGGCTTGAACAAATCGAGTTTGGTGGTAATTATTTAACAGGGCCAGTACCAAACAACTTAGGAAACTTGCAAAACCTGCAACTCATAGGTTTCGGCTTAAACCCACTTGGGATTGATTTGACTTTTCTCACTTCCTTAACCAATTGCACCAATCGAAGAAAGATCGATCTTTTCACAAACCAGCTGAGAGGTTCTTTGCCAAATTCCATTGCAAATCTCTCCACTAACCTCCGATGGTTGAACCTGTATGAGAACTACATAACTGGAGGACTTCCGGCAGAGATTGGAAATCTTAAGAACTTGCAGTATCTTGATGTAACTGTGAACGAGCTCACAGGTGTATTACCTGAATCTATTGGGAAGCTATCCAACTTAAAAGAGTTCTACGGCTACCAAAATAAAATCTCAGGGAAAATTCCGTCCTCTCTGGGAAACGTTTCTGGATTGCTTCGTCTCAGTATAGGAGAGAATCTGCTTGAGGGAACTATGCCAGCTTCATTAGGCAACTGCTATCGCCTGGAAGGGTTGGAGGTTACACGCAATAACCTTGATGGCGTAATACCTGAAAAGATTTTTAATCTATCTGGCCTCACATTGGGCCTTTTTTTAGGTGCAAATAAATTTACAGGATCTTTGCCATCACAAGTGGGTAACCTGAGAAACATCATTAAATTGAATGTTTCAGAAAACAAATTATCTGGAGAAATCCCAGCCACTCTTGGGAACTGTCTCATGTTAGAGACCCTTCTCATGGAGGTGAACTTCTTTGAAGGCACTATTCCTTCCTCCTTCAAGAAACTAAGAAGTCTTCGAGTCCTAGACCTTTCCAGCAATAAGTTGTCTGGGCAAATTCCACAGTTTCTTGGTGAATTACCTCTCCTTGAAAATCTAAACTTGTCCCTCAATGATTTCGAGGGAGAGGTACCAACTGAAGGAGTTTTCAAGAATTCTAGTGCATTCTCAGTTGCAGGAAATCACAAGCTATGTGGAGGAATTAAGGAGATTCAATTGCCCGCGTGCCCAAAAAAGGAACAACATCACCGTACTTCACGAATAGTAGTAATTGTTGTAAGCAATGTTTCTCTCTTCATTCTGTTGCTGCTGGCATTTATCTTTGCTGTCATATGCCGGAAAAGATCACACAAAACGAAAACCCTTCTGGCTTCGTCTTTGGAGAAGAAATATCAAAAGGTTTCATATGGAGACCTTGTTCAGGCAACCGATGGGTTTTCCTCTACCAAAGTGGTTGGTGATGGAAGGTATGGTACTGTTTACAAAGGTATTCTTAGATCTGATGATCAAACTGTTGCTGTAAAGGTGCTCAAACTTCGACAGCGAGGAGCCAACAAGACATTTGTAGCCGAATGTGAAACATTAAGGAGCATCAGGCACCGGAATCTTGTCAGGATTGTCACTTCTTGCTCCGCCATTGACTTCGAAGGCAATGACTTCAAGGCTTTGATCTTTGAGTTTATGCCAGAAAGTTTGGAGAGCAGGCTACATCCAAGCTCTGTGGAGCTACAAGACTCGAAAAGATTAAGTCTATTGCAAAGGATTAACATGTTGATCGATGTGGCATCAGCACTAGATTATCTGCACAATCATTGCGAGAAACCAGTTGTCCATTGTGATCTAAAACCAAGTAACATCCTTCTTGACAATGACCTTACTGCTCATGTGGGTGATTTTGGGCTTTCAAAGATCCTTTCAGCTGCCACAGGTGAACTTCTTTCTACATCAACTAGCTCACTTGGTGTAAGAGGAACAGTTGGATATGTGGCACCAGGTAAAATACCAAGTAATTATTATCTTTCCTCGTGATTGCTCAGGAACAGTAGGATATTTGGCTTCAGGATTTTATGATAATATTATGATCTCTCTTTAAAAATACCATTAATTATTTTTTCATTTCAAGAAAAAAGCACTTACGAGTTTTTATCTTATTTGTTTCTTAAATTGCAGAATATGGTATGGGAGGAAAGATTTCAATACATGGCGACATGTACAGCTATGGCATACTCCTTTTGGAGATGTTAACAGGAAAAAGACCCACCGACAGCATGTTCATGGGCAACAATAACCTCCATAATTTTGTTAAAACAGCCCTTCCTGATCAAGTATCAGAGATCATTGATCCTCTGCTCACAATTGACGTCCGAGAACGAGGCAAGTCGAGCAGAAATGGTCCAGGTAGCAGTAGAGGCAAGATAGAGGGTTGTTTGATATCAATCTTTCAAATCGGAGTCCTGTGTTCTGTTGACCTGCCAAGTGAACGAATGGTTATAGCAGATGTTGTCTCAGAATTAAATAAAATTAGGAACATTCTCTGCAGCAACTAGTTTCGATGCACTTCCACTTCCCCTTGCCTTCGTTTGTCGTACGATCCCAAGTGCTGCTAAATTTAGTTTCCTACCAGACATGGAAATTGAAATGTTATTGTATGCATTACTTGTATTTAGTGCTACAATAATATCTGTTGTATTATAACAAGGTTATCGACTTAATCGGATGTCTTTATGGACTCCTGTTCTTCTCTCTCCCATTCAACTTTCTCCATTTTGAGTTGGCTTTCAAGCTTTTACACTCTCGGTGACTCAGAGAACTAATACAGTAGTGCTTTGGAATGAATAAACTTCACCAATCAAGCTTTTCAGTGCCATAGGTCATGGCTGTGAATCCTGAATAGGAGACATCCAACCACCTCAAGAGCCATACAATTCATTTCAGAGCTATTGACACATGCAGCAAAGCATGGTCTAAGTGTATTTTAGGAACAGATCTCATTTCATTAGGAAATCAAGTTAGTAGCAACATTTAAATTTCTCCATAGAGAGAGGGTGCATCAAAATACATGAGTGATCAAGTACTATCAATTGCATATGATCGTCTTTGTTAGTTCATCTAGCACTAGCAAAACAATTCCAACCTGTGAATTTACAGCAACTTCTTTCATCTTGGAATTCATCTTCATCCTCGAAGCTTGTTTCTTCGTTGAAGCTCATCCATCAGAAGATGCGCAACTGATTTGTAACCCATCTCTCGAGCTTTGATGCCATTCAGATAAAAGGAAACCAATACAATATTACCAATCAACTATGTTAGTATAGCAATAGGAAAGGCATTGATAGTAATTATAATCATGACACAATAAAAGTCAGAAGGTAAACCTTTGAAAATTGCTATCCCAGTTGGAGCCATCTTTCGCTTTCTTAAGCACAATGAACTATCCACGAATAAAAGTTCAAATCAGGAACGACAGGTTTTCAGTTAGCAGATTTCAAAAGAATACTTCGTGATTCTGCAATAGCTAATACATTTGAGCATAGTATGCTAAAATTAGAAATGAAAAGATGATCATTCTTACCTGCTACATATCCAATAAGGTTTTGTTCCTCTTTCTTCTACACAATGAGGGCACATCCATTTCTTCTTCTCTCTCACCTCCTCCATGTCTAACAAAACATCATCACAGAAGGTTTAGATGATTCCATCCTTTTTGTTGACACAAAAACATTTTGCAAGACCATCCTACTCTATGAACATTTTTAGTCTTAGGAGTTTGAGAATGACCATCGCCAGGCTTATTCAATCTTATATCTAAAGGTGCTAACACTAACAGGACAACTATGTGGTCTTGTACCAGATTTTTGAAGGACTCACCTTCACCATACCTGACCTTGAGACAACCTCGACAGAGAACGCCATTTGCAGAATGACAAACTGAACAGTCTGTTTTTCCTGCTTGGAACAGAAGCATTAAAAAGTACAAATCATTGTGAGTTATAGAGACTGGTTCATTTATAGCTGATCTGTGCAAGGATAAGCATCAAAACACAAAGCATTCTAAAGCTACCTATGCATGTTTGATCAGGATCAAGGTTACTGCAACGCTTGCAATCTTCTTCACCACACAATGTCTTTTGCCTGCATTTGTGTGTAATTAAATTCACAGTAAGATCATCATCATGCTCTAATCTCTATTTTGACTAGATTTGCTAGGTTGAATGGTTAACCAAAACTAGTCGAAACAAAAAAGAGCATATGACACGTTGAATTCTAAGGCAATGCTGGTAAGAAAATTGACAACATGTACAAGATTCACATATGCCAGTGTGATGTCACGTCGTGTAAAAGAATTCCATATAACTTTCCATGCCACAAAGCGCAAAGTTTCCCTTTCTATTGGTTGCCCATAAATGGCTTTTGTTTTTTAGATTCAAATGGTTCTTTGGCCGCCTAGTGGATTGTCTTTGAGGTTCAAATGATAGATTTTGTTTACATGAAAGAGACTGTAAGAAGAGCACATGCAAGAAACACCTCCCCACGGCTATACAATGAACCCAGATCCTTGTACTTAGCAAGAGTGAAGCCAACGGCAGTTTCCTCCTAAATTGTGAAACACAATCCCCTCCATTATGGTCAAATACTTGTGATTCTCTCAATTTACCACCAAATCAATATATACCTAATCACTTGCTGTTCTCCTAGCTAACTAATACTCTTATATCATTAACAAAGGGGTCAATACCGTGGACCTGGTGCGATATTAGAGATGCCTTTTCATGGTAGAACAGCCGTAATGAAAATGGGAGTGCCACGCGAAGAGAAAACTTCGAGAAATGAAGTACTAGTAAGATGGTGAGTAGTAATATTCAGGATATTAAAGATATTATATCCACTTGAAGAAATGACAACAAATCCTGAAATTGGAACATAGATGGTGCTGCCCTTGCTATAAAAACTCACAGAAGAAGCCTTAGACCAAAGCTGGAACTCCGTGCACCAGTCACCAATCCAACAAGAGGAAAAAAGAAACATGTAAATGTCAAATTGCTGACTAGTCTTGTAATGTGGCCTATATGAATCTAACTTTAAAACACAAATTATGCCTTAGACTGGCTGGCAGATAAAAAGGAGAATGAGGGATGAGAGCTTTTTCACTAGATAGAAAATGAGAAACAAAGTTTTTTTTTTTTTTTCATGCAATCTTCTAAGTCCTGATCGTACGCTTATTTGAAACTTAAATTTGATAAAATTTAGTATATTAGTCGGGATCAACACTTTTACCGTTCAACCCTCAATAATTGGTCCCACCAAGTTGGGATGCTAGACAGATCCTAAAAATAGAGGCTCTCAAAAGTTTATTTGATCACTCTGTTTAGTTTAATGATGAACAAAATAAATTTCAACGAGACAGGGCTTCAATGAACCGTTCGATCATGGTCTGGAAGATAGCACTAGAAAATGTACACCTTTTCTCCAACAAGTCATTCTTTTGGATTGTTGAACACTTTGTCCACCACTTGTCATATCGCCTAATCTTTCTTCCATTCTTCTTTTATTTTTTTCCCACTTACTGTAATATGTTCTTATCCATAGAAGATTTAACCATGTAAGAGCTTTTGCAAAGTGCTTTCAAATCAGAAAGGCCTAAGCCTTTTGGGTTAAACCAAAAGCATCAATTTGGTACTTTTTGAACCGAGGTTCCTTTACAATATAAGCACTTCCAATCGCAACACTACATTCGCTATAGAATGGTAGTTGAATTGGGATACTTAAAACGCTTATATGATTGAGTGTGCTATTTCTATATGTTTCAATTTGGCAATTCTTAAATGGCTTTATCAGAAAGATAACGAAAGCAATCATTCCCAAAACCAGAAACAAAGAACGTAATTAATGAAACTATGTAAATTACTTTTGGGGTGAAAAAATGAGTGTGCGATTCGGATACCTAAAACGCTTATATGCTCAATACTATATACAAATTTCAATCATCTTATATACCTCATCTCCAAGAATTTCCATATGTTTCAATAAAATCATCAACATAACAATTCAAATGAGCTAAAAAGAAAAACAAAACAGTAGCAGGATGGATTTTATACCTGCAAAAATGGCAGCTAATCCCAAAAACCGAGAGAGTGCCTCTACTCTTATGATTACATCGCCTAGCAGAAGCCTCAAGTGAAAGTTGAATCTCCATCGCACCGTTTAACTTCACGAACGGCGCATTTGCAGGCCTTTTCTCTCCTTCTTCCTCTTCACTCTCATCATCAAAGTCCACTTTTCTCACTACAACTGACACGAAAACAAAAAAGCGTCATATCCAACAACCCATTATTTCAATTTTAATGAAAAGGGAAAAAAGGAATACCTGCTTTTACGGGTTCGGTGGAAATTGCTTTCAAGCGATTAGATCGACGCAAAGAAAGATTATTACTGTATTGTGTTGACGATGCGAGGGTTCTGATCCCTTTCAGTCGATCAGATCGACGCACTATTGTGGTCTCGTAAACTCTTTTAGTCCATTTTTTCCTCTCCGGTTTTGAAGAAGAAGTTAAGGTTCGAATATCAGAGAGCGCTTTGCGTATTCCAAGTGATTCCAATCGAGCCTACAATAATAAATAATACTTCAATTAAATCATTGCTTTTCAAGAAATCAAAGAAACAAAGCAGAGTAAGCATTTATCCATTACCTTATTCTCTAAGATTCGTGTGTTTCTTAGATTTTCATAGTCGAATTTGTTATTAAGCTTTCCCATTTTTGTTTTTTTTCCCCTTTTCACGATTTCTGGTTTGAGGGAGAGAGGAGCTGAGAGAAATTGGTTTTTCGAAGTATTCGTTTCCAACGGTCGGGAGATATTTGAACGTTCAAATTTTGAATTCTATTTAGATTTATATTGCCCAATAAATAAACTGGGCTTAAAATTTTATTTTATTTTTTTCATTTGGGCTGCATTGAAAGTTTTTTAAGCCCATTATAATCAGTGTAAGTCATGTTCGGAGTAAATTATAAATTAGTCCCTCTAGTATCAAAAAATAAATTAACTAGTCTCTTTTATTTTAAAAATTAATTATTTAGTTTTTATACTTTTAAATTTAATTTTAACTTAGTCCTTTTTTTAATTTTTTTCAAAAAATAAAAAGATTGATGAGGAAAAAAAACATTTTATGAAATAATAATACTATTAAATTAAATATGATCAATACTAATGAAAAGACAATATAATAATTTTTGAAACAAAATGAATTAATTTATTCTTTTCTTGAAAAAAGAGAGACTAATTTATAATTTATTCTATGTCGGCGTGCATGGAACAAACTTATTCACTATCAAATTCAATGTCTTAAATATTAAATATTGTTGAGTAAGATTAAAATGAAAATTTGAATTAAAAGATTACGAGTCCAATAATTGACCACGTATGAAAAAGGTAATACACATGGGAATATAGATTGATGATTAAAACAAAACAAAAATTGTTATTGAAGAGAGTTACCTCATGTAATCTTAGATTTGAATTCTTATGTATGTAAAAAAATTATTAGATAATTGTATTCATTTTATACATGAATAGTAAAAGGATTAGTCTATGTTTTTGAGTTCGAGATACGTTGAAAAATCTATTAAAAAAAAATCAGAAAGAAATTGTTTGGCAAAAAAAAAAAAAAAGCACTAGTCGATTGATTGTAATTTTTCCATTTAAGGAACAATAGGTTAAAATTTGAAACTTAAATTGTACTTTTCATTTATGACCACTTTTAGTTTGTCATGGGTTAATATGATTTTTATAACTCCTCAAACTTTTATTTTTTAATTAATCAATATCTTTTTTTCTAACAATTGATCAAGATGATATACATACTCAACATTGTTTAATGTATTTCACTTTAATTCAACAAAATATGAACAAAAAATTTAATGAATCGAATCTATTTTTGGTCAATCTATTTAAATTAACTTCTTCTTTTTTTAACTAAAAATAAAGTAGTTCATTTAAGGTAAAATAATTAATTTATCCTTGCGTTTGTGTTAATTATTTATTTTTATCTCTGCTTTTTTAATTTGGTCAATTTACATTATGTCTTTTTTGAAATCATTCAATTAACCTTTTCCGCCTCTAAATTTATCCGGTTGGCCTAATAGTTAATTTATAACAAGTTTTAATTCTACTACGCATGTGGATAGAGCATCATTAAATATTTTTTATTTACAAAAATTACTTTTATATTTATGTAAGCTTAGTAGCACCAACTAAACTGTTTTTAAAAAAAAAAAAATTGATAAACTGCTTTTGAAAAACAAATCTAAGACAATTTATTTGTTGATATGGGCAATATAAAAATTCATCTCTTAGATTAAAAAAAATTAATCTTAGAAAAAAATGGATGAAGCCCAACAGCATTAAGGATTAGGCCTTTTTTCCTTCTTTTTTCCTAAATTTTTTTCCCTATAATTTAACAATTTTCTTTGGAGATATCATTACCTTGCTATTGTATACATGAAGATTCAGAGCCACACATGAGCATGTTTACATCTTCTCAAGTGGATCGATCCATCACTATCAGCTTGCCTGGTTGCTCTTCAATATCATATGGTTGGTTTCAGCCTAACCATAACAACTCCATAAATATGGTCCATCGGAGAAGGAAAAAAAATCTGCCATTGCCAATAGTCTCTGTCAAGCTGACGAAGTCATGTTACCTCCATTAATATGGTCGGTCAATCAATTGCAGAGCTACCCTACCACTACTCGTTATCAGGGAAAAAGGTATCCTTTACCTAATAAGTTGTTTTAGCAACTAGACATGTACCTCTTCTCATCACAAATGGAGGAGAGCTTGTTCACTGTCTCTCAGCCCTTTAAGCCTTTACCCGCCTTTCCAGCCTTTTGGGACTAATTCTGTTTAATGGTTGCTTAGCAATGGAACCCAGAAGGAATCGACTATACCTCTTTGAACAACAACAACAGAAGACTTTTAAGTCACAAAATGTCATTGATCATAACTTTCCAGCCCATGATGTCAATATCCCAACAGTAATCAATTCTAGCCGAGCCAAGTTGTTCAACTGTCATACTTATACTGGTATTTATAGCCCTTACCACTACTTGATGATAAGCAGTTGATCCTCAGCAAATACAGAGGAAGAACAGCGAAGTATACTGCTACAGCTTACAGCATAGTTCCAAACAAAGTCCTCTGTAGTGTTGCCTTATATAATTGGCAGCACTTATCAAACTACATAGTGTTCCCTGAAATTAATTGGGAAAAATTTGCGAAGACGGCAAACCATGATCATGCAGAGTGAGTGACAGTTGTGTTACTTTTTTGCTTTTTCTTTTTCTTTTTTTGTCTTGGTAATGTTGATATGATATCGTTTATCTAATGGATACGGTTGATTGTTGTTTATGAGGTATTTTCTATCACTGGATTGGCGTATCTGTTGTTGGTAAATTTGTTTAGGGACGGATTTGCCAAAGCGGCATTGTTATAAACAATTCAAGAAAAACCAATCTACAAGTCTCTTCACCAACCGGCCTGCATTATTGTTTAGGAATAAACTGCAACCGACAAAGTCTATCACCAAGGCCAGCATCGGCCTGCAGAAAAAAGCGTTCTGTGTTTAAATAATTCACCCTTTCTTTTGTCATTTTTTGCGATCATGTTTGGGATGCTTGGTTGGTAATGAACATATATAATTTATATCTCCAAAGAATTAGAACAAGAGCAGGCGGAAAGGGATCAAGTTTATTGACTTGGAAAGAATTAATGAATCAAAATTCGTATATGAACTAAAGAACAAGACCAACATTTGTACTTCATCTACAAGATGCTCTGTAACCTATTCTAGGTTGAAAACCCTACGGCCGGTGACAAATGTTATATTTACAAATAGTTGTTTCACTTGTTTCTGGTTTCCTAACTTTGTGTTTGGGGACGTAATCTGCGTTGCCTAACTAATTCTTCTAAAGCTTCTCGCATCCACCAATTATGGCAAACTTCTCTAGCTTCATTAATAGAAACCTGAAAAGAACAGCAAATGCATTGCAAAATCAGATCCCATTCTCTCGAACAGTTGCATTAAACCATCAATCAACATCATCAAATGATAAATTAACACATACCCATTTTCGTTTTCGGATATTTTTCTCAGGCCAGCAATCTAATTCTTTATGAACTAGCAGAGGAAACATGTAGCTCTCGTGCATTATGCAACTTCTTTTGCTCTTATAATGCCATGGGCCTAATTTATCCTGTAAAGACAATCACAGATAACTTAATTAGATTTCAGAAATCGGCCAAAACAAAGAGAAACTCGTATGCAAATGAAGGATTGCAAATACTAACCTCAACAACACCAATTACTCCTGCTTCCTCCTCCGTCTCTCGCTTTGCAGCATCTTCCATGGCTTCATCATTTTCCCATCCTCCCTGTTCATTACAACACAGACTATTAATTAAGAGAAAAGGAAATGACTAAACACAAGCATCTTAAAAACCAAATGATGATAAAGACACTATTTGTATAAGCAATATAGAAATAGTACCTTTGGGAACAACATTCCTTGACCATTTTGTGCACTAATGACAAGAACTTCTAATTCTTCAACTGAAGTTGCTTCTCCGGTTTTCTTGTATCTATATGGAATGCACCTGCATACATTTAAAAACAAATTAACAAACAAGATCAGATAAAAAAATTTGACCAATTACAAATGTAAAATTTCATTAACCGATTATTAATTACCCTAAAAAACCCTTAAAAGAGAAATTCTTTTACTTTTTATCAATAAAATAAAACCCAAATGCAAAATGAGAAACAAAAATAAAACTTAAGCCCAGATTGACATCCTAAAACATCAAAACCATAAAAGATCCAAAATAAAAGGCAATAGATTAAAACTATATTTAAATGAACAAGGAAAAAAAATCAAACTCAACAAATTTAACAATGACCCACTTCAAAAAAACTCGAGTTTGTGAAGAATTTCTAATTGTTTGGCAAGATCAAACAAACATAATAAATTAAGAAAAATTACCCAGAAACAGAAAATATTATAAAAACGACAGAGAAATAAGAAAACTCACCCTACGACAAGGCGATACCCTTTCTCATACCGCTGTAGATGTCTTCCAGTACGAGAAACCAAAGAGACCATATTCTCAATTTGCACAGGCAAAGATTTTGATGGGATTTTAATAAGAAAAGGGAAAAAAAGTTGAGGAAACTTGTCAAGTTTGAGAAATATAAAGAAAAGCACCTCATCTTTTCTCTTAAGCAAGAGATTCACAATACCAGAATCTGTTGAGGTTTGTTTTGTTTGGCAGTTCCGCCCTTAAACTATAAACCCCAAATTTGGTTCTCTCTTTATTTCTGCTTTGTTTTCTTTCTGAAAACTAAAACATGGGTTCTTTACTTCTCTCAAGGGTTTTTTGCTATAATTAGAGGAGAATTGAGTTTTGCAGGAAAATGAGCGCATCAACAATTTTGCAAACAAACAGTTCAGACAGTAGTGCAAAGATAACGAAGGTTTGTGTGGATAAGAAACTAAGACGTTCGTTTGATGCTATAAATAGAGATTTTCCAGTTCGGAGACGAAGAGGGAGAGGAAAGTGCAGTTTTTTTTTTTTTTGTCTGAACAAGTGGACAGACGCGCATGTTGAGACGTTGAAGTAAGTTGAGTTGGCAGTGACATATTCAATAAGAACACTGTTTTTAGTTACATGTTGTGTTCTAGTTTGCCTTCTTGGATCGGGTAAAAGATGAGCTAGAAAATCTAGAAGAAATTACCTTGCAAACAATTCTCTTATCAACAATAATCTTATTTTAAGAAACCAGACATTGCTAGTTGTTTTTTGGATATTGGTTTTTACTCACATATAAAGTAATATTTATTCATTGTTATTATAATGGATTTTATTTTTATGTAATTGAATGAGTAATACATTAGAAATATCCAATAATTTCTTTTTAAAAAAACATATAGTACCATACAATTCATGATATTTTATCCAAATAATTTCTTGAAATTCGTAATGTAATAATAAAATTAAAATTTTATATTTCAAATAGCTCGTCTTTTTTTTTTCTATAATGATTGTTTAATTTATATAACCTATGAGTAAGTAATTCAATATAAAATCTCTATTTTATGTCTTTTCGAATACTTTGTGAATTTTTTTTAATTATCATTGTCGAAAAATAATTTTAACCCAAAAGCTTAATTATCCTTGTCAAATAACCATTTTATTTCAATTCAAAAGTTTAAAATGTTTAGGCGAAATTCTAAAAATGGTTTTAAATTACTCTCCAACACATTTTCTTAAGTGAAATCTCTCAAGTTCGTGAGCGTTTGATTATTAAAACTCTAATACCATGTTAAATAACCATTTCAATCCAAAAAATTAAACTATTGAGTAAGATTTTAGAAATAATTTTATGTTATTCTCCAACAATCCTCGTATTTATGTTTAGTATAATTTTAAATTTGATTTTTCAAGAGATAAGTCAAATTATAATGCACTATACAACCACCTCGTACCAAAAATAACATTTAATAATTCAATATTTGTCGTATGAAGTTAAAGGTAGCATCAAATTTTAAAATTAAAGGTACATGTAATTTCATTTGGTAAAAAACAAGTTCAAATCTTTTAGTAATGTTAGTTTATTTGATTATTATGTAATGAGAAAAAACTATTTTTATTTTGTAATTTAATAGTTAATACATCTTTTGATTAATAAAAAAAAAACATCAATTTTTTATGACTCTCGAGTAATAGCAATTTCAATATTTTCTACAACATATAGCTATAGTAATGTCATAACACTTCTTTTACGGATGAATTTTTTCGTTTTTCCTTGGCAACCATTTATCAAAATTTTAGTTCTAAAGGAAAAAAAAAACAAAAAAACAAAAAAACAAAAAACATGTATCTAAAATTGGTTGACATTTAATAAAGTTATAACTCGGAAATGAATTTTGCCTTTTCCACTAACACAACAGAAAATGTCCTTTGACTAAATATGTCAAAATTCAAATATGTAAAAAAAAACGTGATTATTTCATTATTTGTGGTGTTAACAATAATTCTATAGGGAACGTGTCAAAAGGAAGAAATAGTCTTACACAGACTATCATGAGTTCGCCCGCACCGTCGTCCCACAGACAAACTTCAAAAACATTTATCTAAGATGCCACCACGCGCTAATTGCGCGTCGGTGTACCATTTTATTTACTCCGATATTTTGCAGTTTCGACAGGTTTCTAATTCGAACATAAATTGAATAATTGCGTGGACTTATCCAGGAGCGTGTACGCTATAATTAATTCAAAGAGTTCATTATAATTTTTTAGTCGCTGTAGTTTAATGAAATTAATTAACTAGTCCTTGTAGTTTCATAATGTATTATTTAATCCAATATTTTTTAAATCCCTTGAAATAACCCTCTCGTCAATTCCATTTTCCTTCTCAATCTCCCTCTTTGTTTTGGTTTTTGAAAAATATAAAAATAAAAGATAATTAATTGAGCTAGGAAAGTTTGATTTGAAAAGGATGTACTTTCGGAACAAAATATGCGTAAGAAGATTATTTTGATACTATCAGGACTAATTAATTAGTGTTGAGAAACTATAAGAACTGAGTTATAATTAACTATTTATTCAAACGTGGACGTGCACTCGGTTTCAATATTGCGGCACAGACAGGAGCTGTTAAAGAGAAACTCAATCAACACGGTTTTAAGATTCTCTTTTTTTTATTATTATTGTTGTTTTTCGGTATATGTAATGATATTTGGGAGGGATTTTTCCTCGTTACTTCAGGGTAATGTAAAAGACGAGTGCTGTTTACTTTGGGATTCGTTAGTCAATAATCAACAAATAAAAAAAGGTAATAAAGAGGTATTATTATCATTACCCCAATGGAATCCCATGAATGATGGAAAAATCACTGGTGAGTTTGTCTTTCTTCTTGTCAAGCTAGGCTATAATTAAAAGAAGAACGCAATCGATTGAGATGAGGTTTTGTCAAGCTAGGCTATAATTAAAAGGATGAGGTTTTGTTTCAGGATTTTCTTATGTTATCCTCACGGAATATAAATATAGTAATCATTAAATCTAAATTATTTAATAAATATTGTTTACTATATGATAGAATTAGTAACAATTTACTTTATTTTTTTATTTAATTCTTGAATTTAAAATCAATAGTGAGATTTAAAGCATAATTGATATTGTTTTTTTATAAAAAACATGAAAAGATATCAATCCAAAACACAAGTGTTTTAAAGACTTTGTTCGTTAGAGAGTAATATAAAACTATTCCTGGAGTTTTACTTAATAACTTAAATTTTTTATTTAAGATGATTTTTTGATATTGTATCGGAATCTATGAATTTGAATTGTACCACTTATTTTTCTCTTCCAGTTAAATAATTAAGCATAAAATAATGATGAGTTTGTAAAAGTTTTGAATAAAAAAACTTTTATTTAAAAAAATATCTTAGAGAATAATATAAAATTATTCAAGAAATTCTACTTAATAATTTAAACTTTTGAGTTAAGATGACTTAATAAATTAAACATTTAAATACTAGAGAAAAAGATTTTTTATTTTATAAAGATCATAAAAGTACATTGATAAAGGGTTAAACCTAAAACCTTTTAAATATAAGATAACAAGTTTTACTATTGTGGTTACCTTAATTGATAGAGTTGATTTTTTTTTCTTTTTGGTCTATCGAGGAAAAATTAAAATTTGTTTCATTAAAAGGTTCAGCTATATTAATATCAAACATCATAAAAAATCATTAATATTAGATCTATTAATTAATTTCTCAAATATGTTTACAAGGTCAAAAACAAAATTGAAATAATCCTATCAATGTTAATTCAAGAAGCAGTAGGCATCTTGTACCTACGCAAATTAAGGACATGCATTGATATCCGTGAGCCACTAAAGTGATCCAAGTTTCATGGTAGATGTGTGAGCATGGCATGCGAGAGCTATAGATCCTACTATGTTAGGTACATATGGACAGCATATGAGTGATTTTAATATAATTTATTAAAAAAGATTAATCATGAAAAAGATTGAAGTTAAAAACAAAAAACTCAATGGACGTCTCGAAAGAGCATGTTGAAAACGAGTGGTATCCATACTAGCCTGTCTAATTATACTGAAAAGCCCATCTCTTTCATAAAATATGTTGAGCGTTTGATAAATATTACATTATCTATTATTTTATAAATTAATTTTTATATTTATTTTATCTTATATTATTTTGTTTATTTTTTCATCGTAATAAATTGAATCGTAAATCAAATCTTTACTAGTTGTTCGTGACCACTCACAAACATAATGATGAGATATTTGTTGACGGATAATAGCAGAATAATATATATATATGTATATATATATATATATATATATATATATATATATATATATATATATATTATTTCAATGACATGGTAATATATGCAATTAATACAAGAAGCAACTACTAATGAGAGAAATGACATTTTTTTTTACCCTCTGTAAAAGATAGGAGACCAATGAGCTTGTAACCCAATTTCGGTGCTTTCTTGCAACAAGAGGTCATAGGTTTAAATCCTAGCAGACCAGCTGTACTAGAAGCCTTTAATGTGTAAGTTAAAAAAAAACGACATGAGGATAATGTATTGTCTCAAGATATCAACATGTCCAAGATATATTTAGATGTTATCGAAAAGGAAAAAAAAGTAAAGAAAGTATGGCATTAGAACTTAGTGTTACTCACATTCCGACACTAACTCTTCCTTTACCACTTCACTATATCTTATAATAATATTCATGAGGTTTTTGCCTAATACGAAGATCGAATCAAGGGGATGAAGGTTATCATTCAATAGCGAAGTCGGTCAAGTTAGCAACATACGGACTCAATTACAAAGAGTTATGAGAGGTTGGAGGCTACCATCTAATAGCAGAGTCGATCAAGTTAGCATCATGCGGACTCGGTGACAAAGAGTTATTGGGTTGTTAGAGAATTTTCAGCCGTCTCTCGTTTATCTCAACGATCAGCAGTCGAAAAATGACACAAGAGATGGTGATGATGAGGACTAAATTTCTTATTTTTTTTTAAAAAAAAGCTTTTAATCTTTTTGTATATCTT